GAAGCGTAGGTGAGAAGTATCCCTTGGGTTCCTTTCGGCGTGAGGGGGGAATAAGCGTCTATAGGAAGGCAAACGGAAGAAGTTCCGGTTTGCTTGATCTCCGCTGGTCAAGTCAATTGATTGAAAGCCGAATTTAACTTTCGTTTCCCTCTTGGGACTCTTTGTCTCGAGTCCTGATCAAGCTTATTGGAGTACTCGAAAGATGCGGATGATAAAAGATTGGATAAAAAGGTGGTGTGCTTTGTATGACCAAAAGTCGATAAACTCGGCGGGGCTGCTGTCAAAGCAATAAAGCAAACAGTGATCGAGGATCAGTGCGCTAAAAGAAGCCGAAGAGATTTGGTGCTTTTGTAGATTTGGATAGATCCAAAAGCAAGTCTTGCGAGTCAAAGAACGAATAGAATGGAAATTCTGAGATACAGGGACGAAGAGTGACAAGCAACGAATGTGGCGTCAGAACAAAAAAAATAAGGCAGACGCAGACGCAGAGGCGTGGAAGGGAGACAACAACAACAAGAACAATATTGGAATAATATCTATCAATCAACAGTTCCAAAACAACATCATCAAAATAGACAGAAGGAGGGGAAAGAGGAAGAACCAAGAATAAATGGTAACTGCCTTATGGACGGCTTGCGAGGGAAAATGGGTGGATCGTACTAATAATCCTCATACTACTCCGTAAAAAGCAGCGCACTGATCGGGTTCGTTAATTACAAGAGCTGATCGAGGCTTCTGGACTCTCTTTGCCGTCCCGCTTTTGGCCCTCCCACCGGTCAATAAATTACAGTCAAGTCGATCAGTTTTACCTGATAATTGCTTCCTGATTCCTGAAGGATCGACTCTCTGAGACTTCTTTGACACTGTTTCGAACTTCGATAGACTAACGAATCCTTCGATCTGTTTCCGGTTCCGTGGAATTCGCCTTCGCCTTCCGCTGTGTGGAAACTGCCATGTGGATGCTGCCACCCAATGACGATACTCAATTGCTGTCTGACAGTCTGCTACTCCGTACTTGGGTGTATCCATGGGTGGATGTACTTAAGGTAGGAAGCTTTGTTTCTATTCTCAGTCATTTTTTTCTTAAGGAGTATGGACTGGACTGACATCAACTTGCAGCCGTGGAGGCTGATGTATGATGAAACTCGCAGAGCACACACCACCAATGTGAGGCAGAAATTAATCACCTACCTTCCGGCAAACAAAGGGAACTCTTATCCATCATATCAACCCTTACCATCAGCGTTTGTTCAGATTTCACATGAAAATAATGAATCCATTAATACTCTGTACTGGACTGCTGTCTAACTCAAAAAATGTCCAGACTCGATAAATCCAACCCATTGGAAACGCCCTAACGAGAAACCATTCCTGCTAGGGATAAGTCCGTCGTTGTGGTTTGTTTGACCTTGCAGGCTCCCGACCTTCCGCGCGGACAGACATCCAGGGCCATCAAATCAGAATGGCTGAGTCAATGAAGGTGGATCAAATAACCCGCGTAGGTTGGCGAGCTGCTTGCCGGCCCCAGTGTGCTGGGTTCCGCCATCATCCTAGCGCGTCGTTGTCCGTTTGTCCGTCCAGGCACCGCTGGTACCGTCGTGCGTATGTACCTAATTCTTAGGACACTAACAGTCTAAGACACTACTAGCGTAGGACGTACTTCGTGCCTCACGCGGTCACGCCTTTCGAGTCCAGGCCCACTAGCGGCCAGCTCTTTTTCCAGTCAACCGAAGTGAGTGAGCAGTCAGCTCACTTGCTCGAAATTTCGCCGTGGCGTTATCTCGCATGATGCGTCAAAGCGATCAATCTTGGATTTTACGTGCGACACGCTACATTAGTCACCAAGTCCAATGATGTTCCTGATACTGATTTTGCTCATTTAACATTACATAGTGCTGCGCTGATACAAGTGTATAGAACGGCTCCGCCGTTCGATTCCTGCGTACTACTGGTTGGGTCACAGAGTGCTCCGTACCTTTCTCAAACTGCTGTATGAGCAGCACTTCGAAATGATTCATTTTCAGTAGTAATGATATTCTGCTTATTGCCTTGGCGGGCGATTTGAACACTGGCATCATGTTTACTTCATACCGAGTACACGAGTCGAGTACCCATAATATGACCAACATCGGGCATTTTACCCCCGAGACGCAGCACCGTTGGACGTCATAGGCTCAATACGCTGTAATGCCAACCGTTGATCTTTCATCTTTTTCTGTCGATCACTCTCGACGATTGAGGGATCAACTTCAGCTGATGTCAGTGGCCATGAAAGGAAATCAGCCAGCCCCCATTTTCAGTCAAGCTGCAGGAGACGTTTCAGTACCTGGAGTCCGAAGTTTGAGACTCCTACCGCGACCTTTTGGATTGATCTCATTTCAATCAACAAAGCATTCCAATCTTGCGCAGACACTAGTATCTGTGAGGTCGCTGAAATATTATCATAGAAAGCTCGTCGAGGCGCAATCGCTGGTGCCCATGAGGACATTTGACTGAACTTCGTCCCTCATACTGGCCAAGACAACGGGATGAAGCCTAAGTCTTTTTACTTTGCTACTAACAGCATGCCATGCTCTGATAGCGACTCAGCAAGCCTAGCATCTCCAGCTTGTCGGGCTCGGCCCCTGAACCCCGCTCCAACCGTTTTCTTGGGATCATAGTCCATGCCGAAACAGGCATGACGGCCCAGCCTTCTATCGTTCTAGTGCGTCTGCCTTGAACGATTAGTTTATCCGGGTTTCAGCTGAAAGTTGAGTTTAGGCGAATAAGTCGGAATGAGGCAAGGCAGAGACATCACGAGTTCGGTATACTGTGCGACGTATCAACGGTGTATCCCAAGTTGGAGATTCGTCGTCAGGAAGTAGGTAGGCGGATCTGGCTTTGAATCTCACTTTAACATTTCTATAATGGTGAATAAGTGAAGTCTAAGTAGTCGGCAGAGAGATAGCGATTTATCATATATAGGTGATTATTTGATGGCCACTAGCTACAGCTTTTCCGTGCATATACACATCAAACTGTGCTGATCACTAGCATTCGACGTTCAGTAATCTATGGGTGGTAAAAGAAAGCTTGGGTTATACTTGAGCTTTGAGTAAAGTTGAACACCCCATCTGTCTATTGCCTAGCTACATGATGTCAGCTAATTACTGAATCAAGTTTGACGCGTTTCTCCTATATCATTTATCTCCCTCTCCGTCTTTTTGTTTCTCGCCTTCATCTCTTGAACCTCTCTCGTTTCATGCCTTTGCCAGATTTACCTAGTCACCCACTCAATAGGGCCGGTGATATCAAGCCCTCTTGGAACGGACTCCGGCAATTTTCTGGATTCGTGGTCCGTCAGGGCAAGCTACATCTCACGGTCCTGCACAGCGCAATGGGTGCACTTATGAGGAACCACTATCACCTCGAAGATGGACTGCCTACGTATTCCGTGTCTTGTTCGACAAACTGTTGCTTCTCACAGTATCAGGAACTTCATCTTTGAGGAAGAGGAGGGCTAACGCTTTACGCGCTTGAGCTCACTACCAGCTTTGACAGCCTCGTTTTCTTCAGACAATCGAACCGATAAATTCGGACCGTGCTTCTACACCATAAATGACCTGAATCACGCCAAGCAGCATGCCGGTTCAAGTGCAGCACTTATGGTCTCACAGGCACAGATCTTCAGGACTTGGTCACATGGGCACCAGACCAGGAAGGATGATGTCAGCTAATAACGCATTATGCTTTGCGACTTTAAGACCTCAACACCGTTCCAAAAAGCACAAGTGGGTCGAAGAGCTTTAAGGATCAGTGTCAGCGACATTGAGTATTGACCGAGTGGTAGCGCCTCAAGAGAGTGCTCGTCAGAGGGCTCTCGTGAGCTACCATGCTCGCGAGCGCTTAGGGAGTCCTCTGATTGTGATAATTTATATTCGAAACTAGTCCTCAAGTCGGACTTCTCGCTAGAATGTGGAAACCTGTCTTGCTAATGAGATTAATAAACGCTTGACTTCCTCGTGAACGTCAGAAATCAGAATCCGAAATGCAATGTCGACGAAATGCAGAGCCAAAAATGTCATTTATCAAAAGCGAATCAAAGATACCACGAGCATTTCAAGGCTAAGATAGATTTCAATACATCCCACTTGGCGAAAGGGGGGAAGCTGTAAGGGTGCAAAAGGGACAAGGGAGAACTTTAGGCGGCGGCCAGAAAGTGCTGCCTCAGGCGTCGACAGTCCTCTCCCCCATCCTTCCCAGCTTTCTCTAACAACCATCTCTGTAAGGAGGGCATAATTAATATGCATCTGAAAAAGCCTCGCATTGGGCTGAATGACTGTGTGACACAGCTGTGAGTGAATCAATAACTATCAATTTTAACCATATTGAACGACTTTACATTGAGCATTATTCTATCATTACTGCATAGAACTTAATAGTATTCATCCCGAGATGGAAAAGGTAAACTTTTGCTGGCAAACTCAATGCATTATAGCTGGCTAGATCAATCCTTCTTCATCTCGGCGGTTGCGACAGTCAAGAAGGCCATTTCATGGGCTTGCAACGACAATATCATTGTCATGGCCGCAGTCGGCAACGGTGCGAGTCATGATATCAAGGACTCGATTTGATTACTCGCCACTCTCGAAACACAAACACCATTATCTCAATCAGGCAGGAGAGTGTGTCCACTCCAGTTGCGGTTGAAGGTCAACAGAGTTGGTGGCTGGCGTCCAGCCTGCGGGAGAGCAATTGACAGGAAGATGATCTTCGTGAACCATGGACGGGCATGAAAAGTGGAGTTATACATGATAACCTTAGTGATCGGTCATATCCGGCCTTTTGCCTGTCTAAGAAAGAGGCTGTGAAGTCAATAGCTTTATCAATTCTTCTGGACGAGGATATAAGGTCTCTGGTTCCTGCACGACCGGAATCCAGCAACAACAATCATTGAGGAAATTCACACCCTTCAATTGAATCCAGGTGAACTCCAAGAGGAACACCATCATTTGAACGCGATGTCTGGGTCATATCGCCCCAATATTCTCTCTGAGGAAATGGAAGTACTCCCGACTACCGCAGCCTTCTTCCGCCGGATTTCTCGCATCAATACTCGTATACCTCCTATCGCCAGGAAAGCTGCCGTGCCTTGCAAGGTAGCAAATATGTCCCATGACAAGTTGCAACAAGAAGCCGCGTGTCCATCGCCAAATCTACGTCGTTGCATCGGCCACACCGCCGTCTTTCGGAAATCGATGGAAGCAACCCAAGCAGAACGCAGACGCCAAATGCACCACCTGAGTTACTACGAAGACGACGGACCCAGCTACGGTGCCAACGATAGGACCGAGATGGACATTTCTGCCATCCGGGAACAAGTCGCCAGGACAGTCAAGGCGATGATTCGCCGTCGCTCTATCGCAAGCACACCTCAAGGCCTTGAATCAGAAAAGTCCAATGCATTGCTGCGTGTATCAGCCCGCAAGTCTCATGAGAACGATACCCTCCAGCAGACAACGGAGAAGAGGAACAAATTTGCTGCTAAGAGTCGAAAATACGCATCCATGCTTGTGCCTGGGCGGAGGATGTTCACCTTCCCATCTCCCATATTACATGCGAATGCCGTCTGTTGACCCATTTCAATTGTTTCTTTATGCCACGTCACGGAAACTGTCCACACGCCTCGATGCGGTTATGGCGGATCTTACGAATTTACGAACAGTGTATACAATGGGGAAGCGACTGAGCGAGCAGGCACTGTTAGATATTAGCGACTTCATTCATACCTTAGCAATCGATGAATGTCAAGACTCGGTCCGCGTTAGGTCCGACACAAGACAAAGATAAAACCTTGTTCAACACTCCCTCATTGTAGAGCAAGCAAGACGCTCATAACTCCCTCTCTCCAATCAATCTGATTGTGACACAACGTATCATCATAGAACCTTAAAGTTTGCTGGTTGACTTTGCGGACCATTGGATCCGCCGCGTCTATTCTCCACAATATCGATATCAGCAGCGATTTCCCCCGCGAACCAGCAGCGCTGTTTATCTCACTGGGTGATATCTCAACTGTTCCGGTCGGAATAGCCGGCTCAGCGAACCTGAGTCTGTTGGCGGTTAAATCCGAGTCTGGCCAGGCGACGAAGGACCGCCGGATTTGGAAAAGGATCGCGTTTGTCCTTGTAGCGCAGGTCCAATGGTCCTTCAAGTATTGTATCAAGTCACCTTATTCGAGTCAAGGCGCTGATAGTTTCTCCTGCTTGACTACAAATGGCAGGAGAGGCTTGGGCAAATGATCAGGACATCAGCAGCTCCCGTCTTCCGTTCGATCGATTATCACTAATCAGAACGGGCATTATTTCGAGTGATACGTACCTTAACCTATCTGATCGAATCATTCAATACCTAAGATTTCGTATGCAATATTCTAGACCCTGATGCCATGATTGCGGATCCAACCTTGTGGGCTCTCCGAACCTTCTTGAGGGCAACAGTAAAGCCTGAAATGCTGCTGAATCCTGGGCTTTGGTCAACCACAGCGAGGCAATCTTCCATAAGAAACAATAGTTGCATGATGTAAGGCACCAACATAGGACTTACTTGAATCTTATCAGAATCGCTGCATGTGCACGAAAGGCGTGTAACCGGTGGTGAGATATATTGTTCGCAGTCGACTGCACTGTGGATTGGTGTTTTGCGGTTTCTGAGCGCTGCAGCCCGATCCTTGGATACATAGGCTTTAGAAGCCTTTTTAGAATGATCTTACCAGACTGCTGCAAATGAGTACATAAAGTTGAATGATACTTCAAGACTCCAACAACTCGTCGAGAACAAAGGCGGATCTCTGATTGGTCGGATCCAGGCACCAAGGCACCAACACCGCGAAGTGCCAAGACCAACGATATGAACTTTTGATGATAGCATCATTCGTAGCATCAGTGCAGCTGCACACAACAAGAGATACGGAGTAATAACGCAAACACTGGTCAAATCACCAGACTACTCCCATCCACAACATGGCCAAAGAACCCCTCGCCAAGAACCTCCAGTTCGAGAAAAAGAACAAAGACATGCTCAAGATCCCAAAATGTACTTGTCCAAATCACCACCTGACTGAACGAACCCACTAACATAACCAACACAGACGCTCGCGTGCAAAAACGCCCTATCCCCCATGCCCCCGTCGCATCCCCCTACGCCGGCGCCTCGGTCCCGAAAATCGTCTACGTCTCCACCAAGTCCCCCTTCATGAGCGCCGTCAAACGCGTCCAGAAGCTTCTCCGACAAGCCGAAAAACGCGCCACGGCGGCGGTCAATCTTTCAAGTAGCAAGAGGACAGATCGACAGAAGCTGGCCGAGGTAGCGCGCGGCCAGGAGCAGCTGAGCAAGGAGGAGGTGTTTGTCAAGGCCACGGGACGGGCGATCGAGAAGGCGCTGAGCGTTGGGCGGTGGTTCGAGGAGCGGGGGAACGAGTATGCGGTGCGGGTGAAGACGGGGAGTGTGCTTGTCGTCGACGACATCGAGGAAGACGAGGAGGCGAAGCGGAAAGCGATCGAGGAGGCAGAAAGGGTTTTGCAGCAGGAGCAAGCGCAGGAGAAGAAGAAAGACGACGAGAAAGATGAGGGTCAACGCGCTTCAGACCAGTCTGTCGACGCTCCCGCGCAGCCTGTATCGAAATCCGAAACGAAGAAGAGGAAACGCGCTGCGAATGCTCTGGCCTCAGCCTCCGGTGAGGAGCTACCAGAGACGCGAACGCGATGGGTCAACATGGTGGAAATCGCCGTGACGCTCAAGTGAACACTCCCGGATTACGGTGCGGGAAAGCCCCCTTCTCAGATTGCATATGCGTCTCAGCCTCATAGTGGCTATAAGTGGGGTCCTTCCTACTTTCCTCCGCAGGACATGTCTCCTGTGACGGACCAAGGAGAACTCCATACCGATCGGCACTCTGCCTCAGCGCTAGCTGGCACCGTGTGAGGCATCATGCTTGCAGAAAGCCCACCGCGTTTATCTAGTCGACGCTCCAGCACCCATAGCCACAACCCCATCGCCTCCGCTACGATTCTAGTCAACAGGCCTGATGGTAGCTGACTCAGGCCCAGCCAGGAGGATATCCAGGTGGCCGTGATGGGTGGTGGTGCTTCAAATTGAAAGAGTATGTCATATCCCTCCCATGGGCACTACGCCTTGGTGTCGCAGTTCGAAGCGTGGGTTGCATCAATGTGGTGGACTATCTTATCAGAGAGATATGATCATGATCCAGGCCCCTGGATCACCCGCATATAAGCAAACAGCTTGTGGTGTAGCGATAGGTGAAAATGCTTAATTCAATAGTTAAAAGCTATCCACTAGTGCAGCAGAGACTTTTCTAGACTATTCAGCTCGCGATTCAAATGCAGACAAAGGAATGCGTAAGTTCGCTGTAAAGTTTAATCGTAATCTCGAGATTTGAGATACTGATTAACGCGCAGAAGTGCAATCACAAGGATGGGCAATGTATGATTATGCATTCGTAAAAGAGAACTTCAGTCATTCATCGCTTCGCGGAAAATCTCAAAGGAAGTGATGCTGCTATGATAGAACTAATACACAGAGGGTGAGCCCTACTCGACTTGCTGCTGCCCAGGAAAGAAAGAGACATTAACATGAGACGATGAGGAAACCAACTGCTGCCAGAAAGTCGTAACTGGGTCAACAGGGCGCTAGAACAGGAGGAAATGTGGAAAGGTCCGGTGATGCAGGTTATGCAATGGCATAACTGCAGATCAAAAGAGAGTAACGAAAACAGCAAACACCAAATACCCCAGCAACCAGTGATAAGAAATAAATCAAGGGCCGTGACCAGTGTACACGAAGGAAAAGGAGAGAACCAACCAGTGAGAAGCTAAGTACTCAAGACAAGACAATAGATAGGAAAGGTTAAAAGAGGGAGGGAAAGGTTGAGGGCCAAACAAGATGACGACGATGTTCATATGCGCTCAACACCATGATTCAAGACGAGGTCCCGAAAGATGAGGAAGACAGTAAAGAAGACAATTACTTGTCCATCTTCTGCCATCCGTTTAGGTATGCCATAAGGCCTACCCCTAGAAGCACCACTCCAAGCATCGACGCATACGGGCTGGTCTGTTCTAGAACATCGTGTCTCAAGGGCTGTTTCGCGAACGCCGTGCCAGAACCATTAACGTTAGTATATGACGACGACGGTGTCGTAATTGGATGTGCTTGCTTCTCGACTTCTCCGCCTCCAACATGGCTGGCGTCGTCTGTCGCCGAATCATCGCGAGTAATAGCAATCTCCTGCGCTGCAGATTCGTTGCTTATCTCGCAGTTCTCTGCACGCTCACGCCGTAGAGTCTCGATCATCTCCGCCAGTGACTTGCGTGCTTCCACCGTCTCACTCTCCGCTTTCTCTGCCCTGTTTCTAAACATTGCGACTTGCTTTTTCATTTCCTCCATTTCTTCCATCATCATCTCAAGGCGAAGTTGCAAATGATAAGCCTGAGTGTCTGCTAGCGTTTCTGAGGTGGATGATTTGTCTGAGTCCGAGTTAGGAGGCATTTCGGCGTTGGCAGGCTGCTCATGCGCGTGCTTCTCGCTAATCGCCACATCATCGGGCCGAGAACCCATACCCGGTTCGAGCGATTTTCCGTCGATGCCCTTTGCCTGCAACTCCAGACTTCTGGCCTTCTCCTCAGCAGACTCCCGCGCGTTACGTTCTTGCAGCAATAGACTCTCCAACTCCTTAACACGGGCACCCTGACTATCCAGCTCCCGCTTGGCGGACGACAATGCCTCGATCAAAGACAGAATCTGACTGGACTCACGCGAAACAGGAGAGTTGTTTGAACCTAATTTCGGCTTCTCTGTGTCCGACCGTTTAAGAGGAGAGAATGCATCGGCACCTGTGCGGGGTGGTGCATCAGGCTTTTCGGGAAGTGGTTGCTGCGGTGGTGGTGCAGGGGGATCTGAGAATCTTGAGAAAGAATCGACGCGCGGCATCTTAGGTCTGCCGTTGACTTGACGCGAGACACCGCTGTCTGGTGGTGAGTGCTTTGCTTTCTCTTTTTCTTGCTGACCCGGTTTCATCAAAGAAGTCAGAAAGTCGTCGGTTTGCCGCAGATCTTGTGCTTGCTGCTTTGCCTGTTTCATTTCACTCTAGACGCAAAAAGAATTAGTCGGAGGTCACGCTCAGAGGAAAAGTGAGCAACAAACGTACCGTAAGCCGCTTGACAATTTGTTCGATGGAGATTGGAGAATTCCAGTAGTTCATCTGACGTTGCTGCTGCAACGCACTGAGTTGACTGCTCGCAGCGCTTTGCGAGCTTCTATTGCTCATCGTGCTCCCGGAGCGCCCTCGGAGATGCGACAGGGGCTGACTGAGCGGGGAAGGGAGAAGACCGTTACCAGAAGCGGGATCCAAATCTCCTAGAGTGAGGTCGAAGATGTTTGGCATAGTCCCATAGATCCCAGCGTGCTCAACTTTAGCGGAGACCTTGTGATGAACGATAGTCTTTTGATCCTCACTGACGATGTCAATCCCCAGCTCCAGGGTGTCGTTTTCCCGAAGTTCGTGTGGTTCCGACTCGCGGTTCTCCGGAGACAGGCGCTGGCCATTAACAAAGGTCCC